TGGGGAACGACTTGTGTGGGTCCAAGGTGTTGCCAGAGCTGATAGTAAAAGCTGTGCCGGAGGTGAACCAGAAGGACCACGATACAAGTGGAACACCGGACAAGGTAGATCTAGCCAGCATTCTCGAAGATGAAACAGAGGACAATCAAGTCACTGTATACCCGGCCTGTGTAGTGACAGAGTCGGAGGTAGCCGCCGAGGTCGACACTGAAGATGATATGGCAGTGTCGACTCCATCAAGGGAGGAGGTCAACATGGACATGTCTGGGCTGTTCGGTGAAGATCCGGCTCAGAAGAATAAGGATTCGAGGAGACAGGAAGTGAAGATGACCCTACCTGAAAGGTTCAGCGTGAACCGAGCGGACCTGATTAGGGCTCAGAAAGAGTTTATAGATCTAATTAGGGAGGCAAAAGGGGGAAACTCATGTCCGGAGTCCCCCGTGTATTACTACTTGGACGATGACATACTAATGAGGAAGAGGCGACCGGACAAAGCCGGCGCAGATAAGGTATGGTTGGAGAAGCACCAAGTGTTAGTGCCGAAGGAGTTTAGGGCGGCAGTGCTAGAACTAGCCCACTCCGTAGATATGGCAGGGCACTTAGGGGTGAAGAAGACCTTAAATAAGGTGCAGGAGCACTTCTACTGGCCGAACGTGTGGAAGGAGGTAAAGAAGTATTGTAGGACATGTTTGGCGTGCCAACGTGCAGGTAAGCCGGTTCCGGCTATACCGAAAGCACCTTTGAAGCCCATACCGGCATTTGGCGAGCCTTTTGAGAGAGTCTTGATAGACTGTGTAGGTCCGTTGTCAAGGACCAGAAAAGGCCATGAGTATTTACTGACCATAATGTGCACAGCCACCCGTTTCCCCGAAGCGATCCCCCTGAGAATAGTGACGTCGAGAGCCGTTCTGGATAGACTACAGAACTACATTGCGCGGGTAGGAATGCCCAAGGTTATCCAGACGGACCAGGGGAGTGTCTTCCAGTCGAAGTTGTTTAGGGAAACTGTGAAAGGATGGAGGGTAGAGCAAGTGCGCTCGTCACCGTATCACCCTCAGTCGCAGGGAGCATTGGAACGTTTCCATGGGACGCTAAAGAGCTTGTTGAGGATATACTGCGCTGAGGAAGGGAGTAAGTGGGACGAGGCATTACCATCTGTGTTGTTCGCCATCAGGGATGCGGTAGTAGAATCACTTGGGTCCACTCCATTTCAACTGGTGTACGGACACTCCGTGAGGAGCCCAGTGGGTGCGCTGAAGGAGCAGCTCACTGTGGATAGGCCTAAGGTGGATGTGGGACAATATGTGAAAACTTTTAGAGAGCGACTCTCTAGGGCCAGAGATTTGGCCAAGGAAAATTTGAGAACATCCCAGGCAGAGATGGTAAGATATCACGACAGGAAGGCGAAGTGCCGGAGATTTCAAGGAGATCAGGTGTTAGTCCTCCTGCCGGTGAAAGGAAGTATATACGAGTCGAGATTTTGTGGACCATATACCATCCAGAAGGCGTTAGGAGATGTGAATTATGTAATACACATGCCAGATCGTCCGAGGAAATCACAGGTTTGCCACGTGAACATGATAAAGAGGTACTATGACAGAGATAAGCCTCTAGGCGGTGAAGAACAGATGGAAACCCCGTTGCAGACGACTGTGCTTTGTGTGGGAGACGGCAAAGGAGTAGAAGAGGAGAACTGTAAGTTAGAGTGGGCCGATGGTGCGAAGATGTCGAATACGGAAAGCCTGGCCAAGATAGGTGAGCGTCTGGGTCATTTGGAGGATGACCAACGCCGGGAACTAGTGGAGATCCTACGGAGGAATAAGTCGTTATTCACAGACGTGCCCAGAAGACACCGCGGAACGGTGCACGAAGTAAACTTAGGGAGTGCTGACCCCATCAAGCAGCACCCTTACAGAGTTAACCCAGAGAAAGCAGCGGCGATGAGAGCAGAAGTAAAGTATCTGCTGGATAACGACTTGGCAGAGGTTAGCAACAGTGACTGGAGTTCGCCGTGCCTCCTCGTGAAGAAGAGTGATGGCACGTACCGGTTCTGCACCGATTACAGGAAAGTGAATGCAGTCACAGTCGCTGACTCGTTCCCGATACCACGCATTGATGAGTGCATAGATCGGATTGGGAGTGCACGGTATGTCTCGAAAATAGACCTGCTGAAGGGATACTACCAGATTCCCCTGTCCGAGGAGGCCAAGAGGATCTAAGTGTTTGTGACATCCGACGGCTTGTACCAATATAAAGTGGTGCCGTTTGGAATGAAGAATAGTGGTAGTTGTTTCCAACGAGTAATGAATCAGGTATTACAAGGCACGACCAGATGTGCAGTGTACATCGATGATATTGTAGTGTTCGCTGATTCCTGGAAGGATCACGTGGATCGACTTTTAGATTTGCTTGATCGACTGGAGAAGGCCAACATGACGATCAACTTAGCAAAAAGCCAGTTCGGGAGAGCCCGCCTGGAGTACCTTGGGTATATAGTAGGGCAAGGCGAGGTTGCTCCTGTAAGAACAAAGGTGGAGGCCATTGACAACTTCCCGGTGCCCAGGAGTAAGAAAGAATTGTTGAGATACCTCGGTATGATTGGATATTACCAGAAGTTCGGTGAAAATTTCTCCACCGTAGCCGCTCCTATTATTATTCCTTATTATTATTATTATATGTGTGTATGTACTGTGTATTGTGTTTGGTCTAGTAAATGTATTCAAATTTGCTGGTGTTTGCCCTTGTCCTAGTGAGGCTTCCCAGGAAATAGTAAAGAAGGAGAGAGAGAGAGAGAGAGAAAGAACCAAGAACCACCGCTGTGGACAGGGTAGGACGGAAAACTAATAAGTCAAAGGGGATTGAGGAGATCATATCACATAAGGAGAGAGTGGGAAGTCACAGCGGCTCGAGTGGGTGTGTGCACGTAACAACGAGGCTAAGTGTTGGAGCCGCATCCCCTAAACGTGTGACGTTGAGCCCCTCTCCAAGAGCTAGAAGTGCCCAATGTGATCTCCTGGTAAAGTATAAGCACTCCACCAAGTTGTGGGTTGGGTTGTCCAGAAAGAAGGGTCAACAACGACACAACACCACCAACCATTAATACTATAATAACACACACACACACACAAACACATACACATGCACTTGAACCCCCACCCACTCCCCAAAATCCTCTGAGACCCTGCAAACCACTTCATAGATCTTCTCACCCAGGGAACAGCTTTTCCCACCAGCAGAATGCTCGCCTAGAAGGGGACAAGAAAATGAACAGAAGAAAGTGAGCTTCAAGGCAATGTACACCAACATAGATGGGAATACAAATAAAACAAGTGAACTCGGAGAATGGGCACTAGAAGAAAACCCAGACATAATAGCACTCACAGAAACAAAGCTAACGAAAACAACAAATGCAGGGTTTTCACAGGACTACTTTGTAGTGAGATAAGAGAGAGACGGGAGAGGAGGAGGTGGTGTAGCTTGGCTGATATGAAAAGGTTGGAGTTTTGAAGAGATGGTAAATCAGAACTGTGAAGGTTTCAGTGACTACATATCAGGCACCATAGCAACTGGAGGACAGAAAATTATAGTAGTAGTCATATATAACTCCCTACCGAACGACAGAAGACCCAGACTGGAATATGATAGAAACAACATGGCCACCATCAATATAATAGAGAGAGCAGCTTCTGTGGCTAGCAGGAACGGATCCAGACTACTAATCATTGAAGATTTCAACCATGGGAAGATAGACTGGGGGAACAGAGACCCACATGGAGAGCTAAGCTGCTGGACATGGCAACAAGAAACTTTCTAAGTCAACACGTCAAGGGACCAACAAGAATGAGAGGAGAGGATGAACCAGCTTTGCTTGATCTGATATTTACCCTAAATGAGTCGGATATAAGGGAAGTTAAGTTGGAAGCCCCCTTGGGAATGAGTGATCATAGTGTATTGAGCTTTGAGTACCTGTTTGAGCTAGGAATTATCTCCCCCCAAAAAAACTGGGAAACAAAGGGCTGGTGTATCGAAAGGGAAACTATGAGGAGATGAATAAATTCCTAAGGAATATACAATGGGACACAGAACTAAGTACCAAGTCCGTACAAGATATGATGGACTATGTCACCCAAAAGTGTCAGGTGGCTGTAAGCTGGTTTATCCCGGCCCGACAGAAAAAATACGAAAAGCAAAAGAAGAACCCGTTGTTTAATAGGGAATGTATGAAAGCAAAGGAGCTGAATAAAAGGGAATGGAGGAACTTCCGTAATAACCGAGCTGAGAGGTATGAGCTACGAGGAGAGACTACGGGAACTAAACCTCATTTCGTTGGAAGACAGAAGAGTTAGGGGGGACATGATCACCACATTCAAGATTATCAAGGGAATCGATAGGGTAGACAAAGACAGGCTATTTAACACAAGGGGCACACGCACTAGGGGACACAGGTGGAAACTGAATGCCCAAATGAGCCACAGAGATATTAGAAAGAACTTTTTTAGTGTCAGAGTGGTTGACAAATGGAATGCATTAGGAAGTGATGTGGTGGAGGCTGACTCCATACACAGTTTCAAGTGTAGATATGATAGAGCCCAATAGGCTCAGGAACCTGTACACCTGTTGATTGACGATTGAGAGGCGGGACCAAAGAGCCAGAGCTCAACCCCTGCAAGCACAATTAGGTGAGTACACAAACACACACAATACAGCCATACCCACACACACACACACACACACAAACACAGTCTTTTTCATCAATAAACTACACCAGATAGGGGCATGGGGATTGACCCAAACCTGCTTATGACCGCCCGGGAAGAAAGGCCTGCCACCCTACAACGTTTAACGAGGTTAGCCGCAAGTGTTTGGCCTCAAGCTTCTTGACAGACATCATTATATTCAGATATAATATTATATATAATGATATTTCATTATATGACAGACATTCTCTTTTATAGACATAGATAACCGAACACAGGTTTCATAGAGTACAGACGTATTACCTTGTGTATGGCTAGCAGGGAGGTGACGAGGTGAGAGGACGGTGCCATACACACAGCCACTACTCTGTCCCCGTCAGGGTTGGAACACCTTGAACTTAGGAGGCGCTTCAGTATACATCTGAAAACCAAAAAGGTAAATACGGTATATCTTGTATAACAGAACAATATCAGTAAATTATATCCTTAGGATTACAATTTCTGAGGTCGAGCAAAACACAGAATGGGAAAAATAATACAATAAAAGTATGAAAGTAAATTAGAAATTAAATACAATTCAATGTGTCAGGGGACAGGAAGCCTGAGTGTATTAATATGATGGTATTAATATTAAAATAATATAATAATATATTAATACGTATGTGTATTAATATGATGTATTAATATTAATATAATATAATAATATATTAATATGTGTATTAATATTAATACGTTAGGATTATATCTAGGTCCCCCCCCCTCTCCAAGGTCGAATTTCTGAGCCTGCCGAGATGCAACCCTATAACAAGCTGACTATTCTCTAATGAAAAATCTGGAATGATTTTTGTTACCCGGTGTTGTACTTTCTCTAAAGCAGCTATGTCCTTCTGAAGATGAGGTTTCCATGCTTTAATACAATAATCCAAGTGGGGCGCGCACCAGAAATGTATACACTTAACCAGAATTTACCCATTTAAAATTTTAGTTAAATCACTACCTTCTTTTCCTTAAAGTTAAAGAAAGGTTTGATTATTCCTAGGGTTTGGTTGACTTTTTATACTGCACCTCCTACCTGTTGTGCAACTGGTAGTTATATAATGTTCAGTTAATTATATAATTAATTATATTCATTATGGTGGAGGATTTTCACTCCATGGTCCTTTTATTCACCAATCTGCTTCAAGGTGATCTGCTTCAGTGATCTCACTAATATCAACAATTACAGACTTATATCAATTCTGCCAACCTTGTCAAAAATATTTGAAAAGCTAATCTGCAAGCCCCTTTACTCATGTCTAGCTAAACTCAATATACTTAGCTCTTGCCAATATGGTTTCAGACCCAATAAAAGCACTAACGATGCACCTATTAGTATGATTAACTTGATACATACAGCCCTTGATAAAAATGAGTTCCCTGTTGGGTTATTTGTGGACCTGCGTAAGGCTTTTGGCACTGTCAACCACCAAAACCATCTTCTTAAATTACATCATTATGGAGTCATAGGTCACTCCCTGCAATACCTTCAGTCTTACCTTACTGACAGGCTCCAGTATGTTTCTGTGAATAATTCCATTTCTCCTACCCTACCCATCGTCATTGGTGTTCCACAGGACAGCATACTTGGCCCTCTCCTCTTTCTCATCTACATTAATGACCTTCAAATGCCTCTCAACACATTAAACCATTCTCATTTGCTGATGACAAAACTTTATTGTCTCCAGTCCTCACCCTCTTGTTCTAAGTGTCACTGTGAATACTGAACTAAATAAAGTCCATCTTTGGCTAACTGCTAACAAACTCCCCCTTAACATTGACAAAACTTTCTATATTTTGTCTGGTAATAAATCCTCAAATGAAATTAATCTAAGAATAAACAATATACAAATCAGTAGTAAAGTTGATGGTAAATTCCTTGGTGTCCTCATCGATAACAAGCTGAATTTCCAGGAACACTTTCTAATTATAGCAAAAAAAGTTTCTAAAACTGTTGGCATTCTTTCTAAGATCAGATATTATGTTCCTCGCCCTGCTCTGGTGACGCTCTATTACTCTCTCATCTATCCTTATCTCAACTATGGTATTTGTGCTTGGGGTTCTACTTCCCAAAAACATTTACGTCCTCTAATTCCCCAACACAAAGCTTCTATTAAAACAATATCTCACTCACTCCACGTTGAGGAGCCGGTCGGCCGAGCGGACAGCACACTGGACTTGTGATCCTGTGGTCCCGGGTACGATCCCGGACGCCGGAGAGAAACAATGGGCAGAGTTTGTTTCCCCCTATGCCCCTGTTACCTAGCAGTAAAATAGGTACCCGGGTGTTAGTCAGCTGTCACGGGCTGCTTCCTGGGGGTGGAGGCCTGGTCGAGGACCGGGCCGCGGGGACACTAAAGCTCCGAAATTATCTCAAAATAACCTAAAGATAACCTCTGGCCCCAGATAGCAGTCGGTACCCTTACTCAAATCTCTGAATGTGTTAGATATTAAGTCACTGCACATCCTCTCATGTGTACTCTAAATATTTAAAACTGAATTGTAATGTCAATCCCGACCTTAAAAGCTTCCTAGGTTGTAACAGAACCCATGGGCACCACACCAGAAACAAATACCTAATTTGATATTCCAAGAGTACGACTTAATCAAACTAGAAATGCTCTACAAATCAAGGGACCCAGAATGTGGAATGACCTTCCCAATCATATCAAAGGATGTACCTCTCTCATCCAGTTTAAGATGAAAACTAAGTACTACCAAATTATCTCCATGTAACCTACTTTACCCCTAAATGTCAACCCATGTCTTACTATTTATAAACAATTCTGTTTGTTGACCACCTTGTATATTGGCTATTTTCTACCATGTTCCCCCCTTTTTTTTATTTTTTATTTTTTTTTTCAACCCAATTTATACTTTATGCTCAATTACTATTAAGTTTTAGTCTAAGTGTTTTTTCCTCACCTCACCTTGCCCGAAACGCTATGCTTACTAGTGGCGTTAGGTATTGTATGTACAAGCTCTATCTATAAATCCAACATTATGTTTGTAACTAATCTTCTACGTATGTACTTTTACCTGAATAAATATTTGATTTGATATGAAGGTAACATTATTAATTTGGTAGTTGTGGAATGGGTTGTTTATGCCCCACATGCAAGTCTTGCATTTGTCGATATTAAAAAGCATTTGCCAGGCTTCTGACCATTTGTGGAATTCATGTAGATCTGTTTGTAAGGCTTCAATATAATTTTAATTTCCCACTTTACCATAAATCTTCTGCAAATACATCTTGCAGTGTCATCTGCAAATTTGACGATGTGGCTTGTAATATTCTCATCTAGGTCTTTGATGTATATGACAAAAAAAGTTGTCATCAAAATGGACCCTTGTGGCACGAAGCGACGGTCTCGCTTCATGCAGGTCGGTGTTCACTCCCCGACCGTCCAAGTGATTGGGCACCATTCCTTTTCCCCCGTCCCATCCCAAATCCTTATCCCGATCCCTTCCCAGTGCTATATAGACGTAATGGCTTGTCGATTTCCCTTGATAATTCCCTCCCATTTAGCACGACTCTGTTTTCTGTTTTAACCATTCTAGTATTTTACCATTTATTCAATGTGCTTGTAGTTTCCTTGCTTCCATGGGGAATCTTATCAAAGATACCTTATCAAATGAACAATAATAAACAATGCTATCAATTTCTATTGTAGTTATTATCTTGAACTCAAATTTTGCTACAAGGTACCTATTAATACTCCTACTTTTATCTGTTAAGAGTAAGGACCTGCTCGAAACGCTATGCGTGTTATTGGCTTTGCATGAATGTAATATCAAACACCACTTATTAAGTACTCTCAAAACCAGATGGTTGTATTGGCTATAATGGGCTCACAACCCAATAATTCTTGTAAATTAATAAATAAATAAACATGTAAAAGTATTAATAGATACGAACCTTATATATCTCAATGACTAATGCCTCATTATTGATTGGGCAGTAGTCGTTGAGATGTAAGTCTCGTCCTCACCACAAACTCAGACCTTGACAAAGCACTCAGGAGAATGCAAAACACTTGGTGTAAATCTTTACGTAAAATTCACAAATACGATACACAAGTATCCTATGTTATTATGTCTGTGAGAAGACATTACCATTGACGTCAGAAGACATTATTACTTACTCCTTAAAATATTTCATCAGTTTATCGTACGCACCTGGCTAGCTTGTTGGCCCTCTCGTTAAGATGGTGGTAGGTGATCCAGGAGTGATGATAAGCGTCCTTGAGGGCCAGGGAGGTGGGCCGGCCCATAGCCACACATTCAAAGACCTGTGGCACCACCGCCGCAGCCTCGGATAGCTGGCGCTTTGGTCCTTTGAGGCTCATCGCTCTGTGGAATTAAAGACGTTATAAGTCTCCAGTAACAAACAACACTTATCTGAAGTTAAATAACAACAAAAGAATGAATATGTACACCGTGAAGTGTAGCCTTCTCAGTTCTCTGGAGACTGCGCCTTGGCCTTTTATTTAACAAGCTTAGGTACGCACAGCCATATGCTGCTAACCTATTCTACATGAAGGATTACAGAGTATAAAAGATAGTTATGAATTCATCTAGTATTTCCGTCTCGCAGGGTTTGTCATAGACTCTGGAGAACACGGTAGTTGCAAGGCTAGCCTGCATTAACAAGCTCTGGGTAGTGTACAAGAATATGTTCTATTTCTGTTCGGGGAGAAAAAACGCAAGCCAGTATGGGGGAAGATATTTGTTTAATGGTAGATTATTAAAATGTAAGATTCTCAGTAACACAAAATATGCTTAATGACTATAAATAAAAGTATATGACAAATGCAATAACATAGTTGAGTAGATACAGTAGTAGAGAGTAGATATCCCACGCTTTCCCAAGAAAGCCGGGCCCATATATTCGTGAATGTGTGTAGTAGTTTCCCGCAAATAAGAGTATCACATATCATTGTAGTGTATACAGATAGAGTATTGAAGTGTGTGTGTTCTAGCTCTTCTTCACATGGATTACAATTTACGTATGTTCAATTTATTTATGTACAATTTATTAATTTACACACACACACACACACACACACACACACACACACACACACACACACACACACACACACACACACACACACACACACACACACACATACATTAGGTTTGTGAACAAACATCAACATGGGTTCTGGACAGGGAAATCGTGCCTAACAAACCTTCTGGAATTCTATGATAAAATAACGAGGATAAGACAGGACAGAGATGGTTGGGCAGACTGCATATTTCTGGACTGCCAAAAAGCCTTTGATACAGTACCGCACATGAGACTGCTGTTCAAACTCGAGAGGCAGGCGGGGGTGGGGGGAAAGGTCCTAGCATGGATACGGAACTACCTAAAAGGAAGGAGCCAAGGAGTTATGGTAAAGGGCGAGAAGTCGGATTGGCGAACAGTAACAAGTGGAGTACCACAAGGATCGGTGCTGGGACCAATTCTATTTCTTGTATATGTTAACGACATGTTTACAGGCGTAGAGTCCTACATGTCGATGTTTGCGGATGACGCAAAGTTGATGAGAAGAGTTGTGACAGATGAGGATTGCAGGATCCACCAAGAGGACCTGAACAGGTTGCAGAGATGGTCAGAGAAATGGCTACTGGAATTCAACACGAGCAAATGTAAAGTTATGGAAATGGGACTAGGAAATAGGAGACCAAAGGGACAGTACACAATGAAGGGGAACAGCCAACCTGTGACGACGCACGAAGAGACCTGGGTGTGGACGTAACACCTAATCTATCTCACATATAAATAGGATAACGACAGCAGCGTACTCTACACTGGCAAAAGTTAGAACATCATTCAGAAACCTAAGTAAGGAGGCATTTAGGGCGCTTTACACTGCCTACGTGAGGCCAGTCTTAGAGTATGCCGCCTCATCATGGAGTTCCCATCTGAAGAAGCTTATAATGAAACTGGAAAAGGTTCAGAGGATTGCAACGAGACTCGTCCCAGAGGTACGAGGGATGGGGTATGAGGAGCGCCTGAGGGAACTGTGCCTTACGACACTAGAAAGAAGAAGGGAGAGGGGGGACATGATAGGAACGTATACAATATTCAGAGGGATTGACAGAGTGGACATAGACGAAATGTTCACACGGAATAGTAACAGAACGAGGGGACATGGATGGAAGCTGGAAACCCAGATGAGTCACAGAGATGTTAGGAAGTTTTCTTTTAGCGTGAGAGTAGTGGGGAAATGGAATGCACTTCAGGAACAGGTTGTGGAAGCAAATACTATTCATAATTTTAAAACCAGGTATGATAGGGAAATGGGACAGGAGTCATTGCTTTAAACAACCGATGCTCGAAAGGCGGTATCCAAGAGTCAATGCTCGATCCTGCAGAAACAACTAGGTGAGTACAACTAGATGAGTACACACACACACACACACACACACACACACACACACACACACACACACACACACACACACACACACACACACACACACACACACACACACACACACACACACACACACACACACACACACACACACACACACACACACACACACACAGTACCACACACGCTTTACACACACAGTTTGATACAGTACCGCACATGAGACTGCTGTTCAAGCTCGAGAGGCAGGCGGGGGTGGGGGGAAAGGTCCTAGAATGGATAAGGAACTACCTAACAGGAAGGAGCCAAAGAGTTACGGTAAGGGGCGAGAAGTCGGACTGGCGAACAGTAACAAGTGGAGTACCACAAGGATCGGTGCTGGGACCAATTCTATTTCTTGTATATGTTAACGACATGTTTACAGGCATAGAGTCCTACATGTCGATGTTTGCGGATGATGCAAAGTTGATGAGAAGAGTTGTGACAGATGAGGATTGCAGGATCCTCCAAGAGGACCTGAACAGATTGCAGAGATGGTCAGAGAAATGGCTACTAGAATTCAACACGAGCAAATGTAAAGTTATGGAAATGGGACTAGGAGATAGGAGACCAAAGGGACAGTACACAATGAAGGGGAACAGCCTACCTGTAACGACGCGTGAAAGAGACCTGGGGGTGGACGTAACACCTAATCTATCTCCTGAGGCACATATTAATAGGATAACGACAGCAGCGTACTCTACACTGGCAAAAGTTAGAACATCATTCAGAAACCTAAGTAAGGAGGCATTTAGGGCGCTTTACACTGCCTACGTAAGGCCAGTCTTAGAGTATGCCGCCTCATCATGGAGTCCCCATCTGAAGAAGCATATAATGAAACTGGAAAAGGTTCAGAGGTTTGCAACGAGACTCGTCCCAGAGCTACGAGGGATGGGGTATGAAGAGCGCCTGAGGGAACTGTGCCTTACGACACTAGAAAGAAGAAGGGAGAGGGGGGACATGATAGGAACGTATAAGATACTCAGAGGAATTGACAGAGTGGACATAGACGAAATGTTCACACGGAATAGTAACAGAACGAGGGGACATGGATGGAAGCTTGAAACTCAGATGAGTCACAGAGATGTTAGGAAGTTTTCTTTTAGCGTGAGAGTAGTGGGGAAATGGAATGCACTTCAGGAACAGGTTGTGGAAGCAAATACTATTCATAATTTTAAAACCAGGTATGATAGGGAAATAGGACAGGAGTCATTGCTGTAAACAACCAATGCTCGAAAGGCGGGATCCAAGAGTCAATGCTCGATCCTGCAGACACAACTAGGTGAGTACAACTAGGTGAGTACACACAAACACACACACACACACACACACACACACACACACACCACACACACTGGACTACTACACACACACACACACGTGGCAACCAGAAACTTTCTAAGCCAGCACACCAAAGAACCAACAAGAATGAGAGGAGAAGATGAACCAGCAATGCTTGATTTGATATTTACCCTAAATGAATGGGATATAAGGGAAGTTAAGATGGAAGCGCAAATGGGAATGAGTGACCACAGTGTATTGAACTTTGAGTACCTGGTAGAGCTAGGACTTATCTCCCCCCAAAAAGAACTAGGAATCAAAAGGCTGGCATACCGAAAGGGGAATTATGAACAGATGAGAAGTTTCCTAAGTGAAATACCTTGGGACACAGACCTCAGAGACAAGTCTGTACAGGGTATGATGGACTATGCTACCCAAAAGTGTCAGGAGGCAGTAAACAGGTTCATCCCGGCCCAAAGGGAAAAATCCGAGAAGCAACAGAAGAATCCATGGTATAATAGGGCATGTATGGAAGCGAAGAAACTGAACAAAAGGGCGTGGAGGAACTTCCGGAATAACAGAACACCAGAAAGCAGAGAGAGATACCAGAGAACCAGGAATGAGTACGTCAGGGTGAGAAGAGAAGCAGAGAAAAATTTTGAAAATGATATAGCAAACAAAGCCAAGACCGAACCAAAGCTACTCCACAGTCACATCAGAAGGAAAACAACAGTGAAAGAACAGGTATTGAAACTTAGAACAGGCGAGGACAGGTATACAGAGAATGACAGAGAGGTGTGTGAGGAACTCAACAAGAGGTTCCAGGAGGTCTTCACAATAGAACAGGGTGAGGTCACTGTGCTAGGAGAAAGGGAGGTAAACCAGGCGGCCTTGGAGGAGTTCGAAATTACGAGAGAGGAGGTCAAGAGACACCTGCTGGATCTGGATGTTAGAAAGGCTGTTGGTCCAGATGGGATCTCACCATGGGTACTGAAAGAGTGTGCAGAGGCACTTTGCCTGCCACTCTCCATAGTGTATAGTAAGTCACTGGAGACGGGAGACCTACCAGAAATATGGAAGACGGCGAATGTGGTCCCAATATACAAAAAGGGCGACAGACAAGAGGCACTGAACTACAGGCCAGTGTCCTTGACTTGTATACCATGCAAGGTGATGGAGAAGATCGTGAGAAAAAACCTGGTAACACATCTGGAGAGAAGGGACTTCGTGACAAATCGCCAACATGGGTTCAGGGAGGGTAAATCTTGCCTTACAGGCTTGATAGAATTCTACGATCAGGTGACAAAGATTAAGCAAGAAAGAGAGGGCTGGGCGGACTGCATTTTCTTGGATTGTCGGAAAGCCTTTGACACAGTACCGCATAAGAGGCTGGTACATAAGCTGGAGAGACAGGCAGGTGTAGCTGGTAAGGTGCTCCAGTGGATAAGGGAGTATCTAAGCAATAGGAAGCAGAGAGTTACGGTGAGGGGTGAGACCTCCGATTGGCGTGAAGTCACCAGTGGAGTCCCACAGGGCTCTGTACTCGGTCCTATCTTGTTTCTGATATATGTAAATGATCTCCCGGAGGGTATCGATTCATTTCTCTCAATGTTTGCGGACGATGCTAAAATTATGAGAAGGAT